ATGAAACGCATTTCTCAGAAGTCCAGCCACAAACACTCTCGGCTGTAAAACGGCAGACTGGGCTAGTAGTCCTGGCACACGTCCGCTGCCTCTTATTCCGTTTATTCATGGTTTACGAGAATCACAAAGCTTGGCAAAGACTGTGTCTCAGCAGACGCATTACCTTGGCCTGATCTCAGATCCAGAATCTGTTCCTTCTCTTCTGCACCTAAAGAGGGACTACATGTGACATTTTATCTCAATAACATGTGTGTCAAGTACTTAAGTTAGTGTAAGTGAGGAAAATTGCACTTCGGTAACAGTTATCCTCACGTGCCCTCAACTTAATGAGTCTAATGCGCCCTAAAAGCGTACTGCTCCAAAATGTAGGTCCAGTTAAAGCCTGTAAGGTGATATTTTCACAATAGCCACGTTTATATGCAGCAGATCTGTTACTAATCCGACTAATAGCTCAATTGGAATAGAATACGTCAATGTAAACACATCAATCGGAATAGGCTAGTCTGATTGAAGCCACTCGGAATACAATTTCTATCCGATTGAACGAGGAGGGTAATCCTGTAAATAATCTGTTAAATAGAAGAATAATATCTGTGTAAACGTCTGTATCTGATTACATTCCCAATCGGAAAGTTTAAGTAGGTTCTGATCATGTTCATCACGTCATAATGAAAGTTTATACAGAGGAGACGAAGTTTATGCTCTGATCTTTAAAAGACGGCGGTGGGACGGACGTCCAGCTTATGTGTCTCAGAACACGACGTCTTCCTCTCGGCCTTCTTTAATAAGGACATGTGAAGGACGTTTTCCTGAGTCTGACATCATTTTAAAGTCTTTAAAAACACAAGTGCTGCTCACTGCTGCTCATCTCACTCTGACTGGATTCATGTGATGCTTGTGGTCATGGTGACGTCTACACTAAGTGGTTCTCTACACGTGTGCGTCATTTTGGATCAGATTACTTGAAGTGAGCATATAAGCAGAGATTTTCCATCAGATTGTTGAGTAGAGTGAGAATAAACACCTCAGTCTTAATCTATAATCAGAATGTATTCGATCGGATTGGCAAAAATCTTTGCATGTAAACACAGCCAGTTATTATCCTCTTTTCTCATTTGTAGTTCATCTTTTGGTAACTTTCAAGGTATGAACACATTTGCATTTGACTTTTTTTGACATTTACATTGCATTGTTTTCCCAAGCAAATGATACAAGTCTAGTACTTAAAGATGGGAAGCCATGCTCAAAATGCTTAATTTCCACAAATAAATAAATAAATAAATAAAAATAAAAAGTGTCTGTTTACCAGTGGCCAGTTACTATTTATACCACTTCATTTAAATGGTAATTATGCTCACCTGTCACATTTCTGTCTACATTAAATTGTGAAGCTATGGTCACAGCAAAGCTGAAAACATACTATCCAGTGCTATTCAGACTCCACAAGTTAAACAAAACAAACATCCCAGGCATCTTCAATAAAGGTACTAAACTGTCACTGTCTTATCACTTGGGTGGAACCCTCAAGGGTCCATCTCAGTACCTTTAGTCAGGGAACATAACTGAACCATAATCCACTGAAATGATATGTTCTAAGCTGTACTGACTCCACACACCCCGTCTCGTCTCCAGGACTTTATTTTACTGTTCTGTTTTAAATCATTCGGTTATGAAAAGGTACAAATACGAAATTTTCACCTGGAAAAACTTATTTAAGGTTCACAATCAGACCTTAAAACCACTGTTGCACCTTTGAGGGAACATTTACATTGTTTGTACCTTGATGAACGAAAAACGTTCCTGCACAGAACCTTTATTTCTAACAGTGCAGTGTACTTCTTAAGTCAACTTACCAATAATAAGACACTTGCTATAATGAACTACTTTTTTAGATGACTAAAAGAAGAATATATGTAAGAATGATTACATAGTTTCTCTTTAAGATGTCAGCATTGCAGCTGCCCTCCTATGCAGTCCATGATTTCTTGAATGAAAAGGCCTGATTAAGTGTTTAGGCTAGTCAGGGGTTGAATTGTACCTTCATTTGAGCAAGGATGATGGGCTCAACCTACAACAACAGAGTGTGGGTGGTTAGAATATTAGGCATGATCTTAACACATCCTAATGTTAGCAACACTGGCTATAATATGTAAACGAGTTAACGTAGTAACTCTCATTCTCGAGATGCAGTTAGCACTGTTAGCTCAGTTTTATTCGGACATCATTCACTGGTTAACACTGGTTATAAAACCTAGTTTCTCTGCTTTTAATAGTTCTCAGATTGTCCAGTATTGCTAGCATTCCCTACGGCGGGAGCACATGCTGTACCAAACACTCCACTGCATTAACAATGAAAAGCAGTGATAATAAGTAGGCATCCATATTGTCCTGACTGCAACCACAGACGGCCATATTAATTAGTATGTAAAAACTAGTACACCACCTTCAGAAATCCATTCATTAGAATAGAATGTAGACTATAGCAGTGCTAGCTGGATGCAGCCAGTGTGTAAATCTCAGATAAGGATGGGATGAAAATAATGAGAATAGACTATTTGAGTGATATCACATTTATCTGGAGGGCAGGGAAAGAACGGGAGGGGGTGGTCATTTTACATGGATGATGGTTTTTGTCTCATTTTTTGACCAGGAGATTGCATCCCCCCCCTCAATTGGAGTCCTGGGGCTGGTCAGCTTGAACGTTTGTCATTTAGTTTTTGGTGTCATTTGATTAAGATGTGCAAAGATTAAGATAATTTTCTCTTTTACTTTAGGCCGGTGATTAATGGGCAGCATTGAACACCCTGATGTTTTAGAGCACCTAGCACAGAAATGTGTTTATTGCCCATTTTAGTGGGTGCAATTTTGTTTAAAGCCTCTCAAAACTGGCCTCCTCACTAGGAGCAGTAATCTGTGACTGGAGCTTCACGTAAAAACACCTCAGTAATATTGAGAGTCACACTTGGAGGGAGGGTCAAGTGGTAAGAAGGAGGTGATAGGAAAAAAACAATCGGTATAAAGAGTTGTCTGATGTCTGTCACTGACCAAACTGTGTGAAAGTGGTAAAACCTCCAAGCGCGCTCCCCCACACAGAGGAAGGGGAACTTCCCTCCAGCAGGGAGAGTACAGAGCGGTGAGAGACGGGAAGGAGAAACTCAGCTTGACTTCCAGCAAAGAAAAGTTGACTTCGCTGAGGTTTGAGGGTGATTTCAGCATTTACTGTTATCTAGCGCCTCTTAGTGGTCATTTCGGAAGATACATTTTAGGGAAACCGTCTTGAACAGGCCGCTCTTCCTGTGTGCATCACTGGTCCAGGCTGCCTTCATATAATACACAGCTTTACTAGCAGGACTAAATGCTCTCGCACTGAATGCAGAGCATCAACACAAGAATATCTCACACGCATCGTATACACAGTCATGCTGTATATCTAGTAAGCATGAAAAATTAAACCTTTTAGATAACAAGAATGATGCAAATCCCCCACACAGCACAAACAAAGCACTGTGATTAATAGAAGAAATATTTCATAACACAAGTAAAAGCTCTCAGTATCTAGGAATAAGCTTTAAAGGTGAAAAGGAGAGATTTATTTAAGGTGACGTAAGTATTACAACCATGTACATAATATGTTCCTAATATACATGCTTACTTACTTACTGACAAATTCACACACAAATATGGAAGTATATTCAATTTGGGATGCATTATCAGATTTCTAAAATATTAAAGGACCAGTTTTAAAGAAGCAGATTAAGTCCAGTCTAGAAATTAAAATGGCAAATCCCAATAAACATTGTACTTTTCATTCAGAAGTACAGTAGCACTTATGTTATTATGCCTTACAACCAGGTGAAGCCTAAATCCAGAAGAAGTAGTTGTGATTACTTAACTTTTAACATTTCAGGTTTATTTCATACAAAGGCTTATTATTCAGTAACTACAGGCACTTTAATGCAAACAAAATGAGCTATTAATAGGTTATAGAAGTGTGTAATAAAACTTTGGTGTAATAAAACCTAACCGTGGGCCCATGGCCTGTTATGGGGTTAAAATGAAATTTTCTACTAGAAAATGAAGAATGGAGGCAAGAATAGTCACATTTTGCACAAACCCAAACCCCCTAGCCTTTAGGATAAACATTAACACTTCTATATGAAGCATGTCTATGTAACACATTCATAACATCTTATATAAAAACTTCAGAATGTATTAATAAAAGTTTCATATCACTTCCTAGCTACTGCTGCTACCTCCTGCTGTACCCTGTCTGCATCTACAGCCAATTATAACTGACATTTATCTGCTGAATAACACTTCACATATTCATATGGACCACCTTAATAACAGACGTAGGTTAATTCAGGCTTGTCCAGTCTTCTACTGGAAGGCTCAGTGTAGCTGCAGCTCTTTTTTTTTGCTCCACACAGTAATAATAAGGAGCACAGCTGATCCTACTGTTGTAATCGATCAGATGGACTCAGTCTAACAAATCACCCAAGATTGGACACCCTGCGTTAAACTGGTCATACCTCGTTATGTTTTCTCCACAGCTTTTAGGTCAGGTTAATTCAAAACTGAGCTGTGTTTGACGGGCAAATTTAATTTGAAAAATGACCAGAACCGGTGAGGTCACTCAGAAAGCAGGGGAATAAATGGTTAAGAGACATAGAGAAATTTGGACTTCTGCCTGTACATCACCTGGTAGACCACTAAAACGGTCCCCATCAGATAAAAAGCACTTTAAAGCTTTCATCCTTCCACTTTGAGAAGATGACTCAGCGCTGTGGGTCTGAAAGGATGTGTAGCTGTCAAGAAGAACCTCACTGAGAAAAGGAGACGGACACATCAAACAAAGAAGCTGAACGATGGACTGACCACCCCAGAGTCCAGACCTCAACATCACTGAATGTGTTTGATTACTTCAGAAAATGGTCAACCGACTTCTAAGACTGAACTTTGGAGGTGTGTCTGCAGATTTAAACATGTTTTCTGATGTTGAAAAATGAATAATGGTTAAATGGCTGTTTTGCATGAAATTAAAAAAGTGATTAAATAAATGAAGCATGGTCTCTTACTGTTGAGCAGTACTCTATGTAAACACATTAATTTAAAGTAAGTGTGGCCGTATGAGAGTGTTTTGTAGAAAGAGGTCTTTAGTCTTCAGTCTTCTGCAGGCAGTAAGTTTCTCTGAACAGGCTTGCCGTCATATCTGTTGTTGTTTCAAGTGTTTGGGATGTATCCTTTGAAGAGACTGACCTGTGTACAACACAAGCCTGTAAACATCTCTGATAAACATCATTATCCAATGACCAAGGCTAATGTATGCTGAATATGCATGCATTTACGCATACACATTACATTTTTCTCTGGATGAAGTCGATTATCTCCTTTAAAGTACATCATTTCAAAAGCTAACAAATAATTCCCCAGTAAAAACACAGGTAGCCTTCAGCCAAAACATTTCACCTTGCCCCATCTAGTTTGCCTTAACACAACCTGTCACAACATTAACCCTTGAATTAATGGGTATTTTTACACTTTCAGGAACAACAGCAGATAACACGTACATACATTCTGGACATGCTGTCTAGCACTAAAAGGCAGAACTACAAGAGTTACAACACAGTAGATATTCTGTGAAAAACATCTGGCTATGAAAGTATCAAATATACTTTATGGAAGCGCAGCTGTTAAATACAAAACCATTATGTATCTCTGAACACTAACAACCCCGTAACCCTTTCACAGAAAAAGTAACTGGAATAAATCACTTTTTTACTTAATTTTGGCATTTTGCTATTAGTAAACTGTTCAAAACAATAAGAATCATAATACTAGACAGTATAAAATGGACAAGGCAGAGAGGTAGAAATGAGGTCATGGGTCGCTAGCAAACTGAGGTAGATTTCTAAAGGATAAAACCGAAAAGTTTTTTAATATCTTTTCTCATATTTGTTACACGTGCCATAACTCGAGCACATACGTTCACCTCAGGGTTGTGCAGCAAGTTCTGAATGTAAAAATAAACAGCATACAGTAGCTGTATCAGGATGTATATAATATCCTACTGCTTAATTTCATTTTAATAAGATATGGATGACATATTCCAAATATCATTTCCAAAGAAGTTGGGACAAAGTACAAAATCACTGCAATCGTATATAACAACTTCAAAAATTCTCAATTTCAACAATTGATACGTTGTCTTTATACCATTTTCAATTAAATATAAGGTTTAAATGATTTGTTCATCATTGGATTCTGTTTTTAATTACATTTTGCATAGCGTCCCAATTGTGTTGTAACAAAAATAGTGCCTGTTCACTAAAGGTAGGATCAACTAAAACAGTTAAAAATAGATATTTGGAGCCTTTCTATTAATCAATTTTTTTAAGAGAGTGTAACACAATGCAAAGGATAACTGGAGTTTTATATGTTATATGTGTTTGCAGTTTGCATATATATATATATATATATATATATATATGTGTGTGTGTGTGTGTGTGTGTGTGTGTGTGATATTACCTGGTGCAGTAGAAGGGGTGTGAGAAGTTGATGTTCCTAAAGAATAAAAAAACACATTTAACTTCACTGTAAAATAAAACTGTCAGTTAAACCTGACAATTTCTTCCATTATTTCAATTTTAGACTTGAATAAAACCAGTTCAATTGCTTGGTAAAACATGAAGGACAAGGCCAAAACAATGACACTGCATTAAAAACAGACATGATTCTGTAGTGAAAATCACTGTATGGCCATGTCCCAACTATTTTTGAAATGTGTTCATGGCATCAAATTGAAAATGTGCATATATTTTCCAAAAAACAACATTTCTCAACATAGGTTTTGAAATTTGACATGTTGCCTCATCAAAGAACTTCTCTGCCAGTCAGTTTGTTTGATAATATACAGTTGGAAAGTTCATGGCACCACAACTAATCCCGGATAGGTGCGGCACACAAGATTGGTCTTGCACTAATGATAAGGAATGTAAGAGAGAAGAAAATAGTCACTGAAAATAGTTGCAGGAAGACCTGAAAGCAGGAGCTTGCATGACTAAATTTTGCACATGAGCACTGAGACAAATCAGAACTGCTGGGGAACAAAGTAATCTGGTCAGATTAAACAAAATTAGAACTCTTTGGCAATTCAGCTCAACATATTTGGATGAAGAAGGGTTGTATGTATGATCCCAAGAACACTATACTACAGTGAAGTATGGTGGTGGGAGCATCATGATACAGGGCTGCTTCTCTGCAAACAGTACTGGGGCATTACACATTATCAAAGGAAACGCAAAGGGAGAGATATTAGAGGATGTTTCAACAAGACAACAACCCCAAAAATATAGACAAAATAACTCAAGACTATCAATTTCATGAAATAAATATCTTTTTAGGCTTTGAAATAGGGTAAATACTTCTTTGTCTGTGTTTACAAGTACAAAGTTAATGGGCCAGATTTATAACAAAAATGCATCACCGGATTTACCATAATGTTAAGTGCAAATAGTGTGATGGTAACACGTGTTCTCTTTTGTTGTGTGATGTGACATACAATTGCAACTGAATATGGCCACAGATCCTGAAGACATGTCCTTGAGGGTACCACCCCAGTTAAAGTTTACTGTCAACTGGTGTGATTTGTCATCACAACATTAACAAATATATCTATTAAAATGGATTGGAAATGTCTCACATACGTATCATGGCACTACACATGTATATGTGTGTATGAGGTGCGAGAGGGGGTTTGAAGCAGAAAGTTTAAGCTCTGAGGGGGTACGAGTCTATAAAAAGTTTAGGAACCACTGTTCTGGAGAAACTCATCAAGTCAGAATTGTTTACAGTGGTGGTACCAGCTGTTCAAAGAGTTTAATGCATGAGACATTGTTTTACAACAGTTTTGAGAAAAGGTTTTGGTCCAGCATTCATGGTGGAGAGATGCACACCGTTGAAAGGTAAAATAATTTCCGATAAAATCTTTTTTTTTATCAGATTCACCGTTTTACAATTTTAAAAAAGCAGTAATTAGTAAATTCTGTTTGAACAGTATTAAATTGAAAATAGTCCAAATACACAAAATTTTTACCTTATGAACTTCATTATTTTTTGTAAACATACACTTAATTCCAAGTTTAATACCTGCAAAAAAGTTGGGACAGGAGCATGTTTACCACTGTTACATCACCTTTCCTTTTAACAGCACTTAATAATTGTTTGGGGACTGAAGACACAAACTGATCCAGTTTTAAAAGTGTATTTTTGCCATTCTTCTGTTATACAAGTTTTCAGCTTTGCAACTGAGCCTTTGTTAATAAGAAACAGAATTTCAAAGGGAGACAGTTCTGGTCTGCAGGCAGGTCAGTTGAACACCTGCACTCTCTAAACACTCTCTAGTGTTGTAACGTGCAGAATGTGTAAAACAAGCACGGATGTCCCTGAAAAAGACGTTGTCTAGAAGGCAGCATATATTGCTCTAAAATGTGTTGAGCATTAATTTCACAGATGTGAAGATGACCCACTAATACCCGTCCATACCATGAGAGATGCTGGCTTTTACCTTTATGCTGGTAACAATCTGGATGGTCTTTATCTTCTTTGGTTTGGGGAACGGGGCGGCACGGTGGCACAGTGGGTAGCGCTGTCACCTCACAGCAAGAAGGGCCTGGGTTCGATTCCCGGCCAGATGACCAGGGTCATTTCTGTGTGGAGTTTGCATGTTCTCCCCGTGTCTGTGTGGGTTTCCTCCGGGTACTCCGGTTTCCTCCCACAGTCCAAAAACATGCAGTCAGGCCAATTGGACATGCTAAATTGCCCCTAGGTGTGAGTGAGTGTGTGAATGTGTATGTCTGTCTGTCTGCCCTGCGATGGACTGGCGACCTGTCCAGGGTGTATCCTGCCTTCCGCCCAATGACAACTGGGATAGGCTCCAGCACCCCACCGCGACCCAGAAGGATAAGCGGTTTAGATGATGGATGGATGGATGGATGGTTTGGGGAACACAAGTCCATTGTTTCCATACACAGTCTAAACGGTGGACTCATCAGACCTCAGAGCGCCTTTCCACTGTGCATTAATCCATTTCAGATGAGCTTGAGTCCAGAGAAACTGTGCATAGCGCAGTCTTAACTTTTTTTTTGCATGCAGCCATGGACGCTGTTTATTTACAACATTTTTTCAAATTATTCCTGAGCGCATGTGTTGATATCCAAAAGAAATGAACCATTTTTTTATGCAGTGCCTTCTGAGGAGTCAAAGTTACATGTTTTCATTTGTGGATTTTGGCCTTTTCCTTTACACACACAGGTTTCTCTGTTTTCGCTGAATCTTTTGATAATATTGTGCAGCATAAAGATGAAATGCCTAAGATGTACTTTAAAAAATGTAGGAATAACATTATTTTGGACATCCCTGAATAACATTAATTTTAAACTGTTGGATTTTTTGCTGACAGCCTCAACTCATCCTCGCTCATACAGGCCTTTCCTGGATGTCCCTTTTGTATCATGATCGTATTACCTGTTTGAGATGTTTTTTTGAACATTTCACAATGTTCCTAGTTTTAAATGGCCCCTGTAAAAACTTCTTTGGAATGTGTTGCACGCATCAGTTTCTCTTTGTACTATTTTCATTCAACACAGGTCAAAGTACCTTTACAAATCACTGCTTTCTACATTTTAAAAAAATCTTTGCTTTTTTTCAATTGTCTTCTGTCCCAGCTTTTTTTGGAATCGCTTTTGTAAAAAAAAAATCAATCACGTGTAGGTTCACTGGTGGTTTTGAATCGCCAATAAAATGCCTATATTTGTTTTGAGACATCGTGACCTCATGGTTCATATCAGCACCACTGAATTTTGACTCTGTAATTGTCTCTACAATAAACCACATCACACTAAAAATACACTGTAGATTTTGTTTACACCTTTAATAATGCACAGCTGAAAAATTGGTGCATTTCCCCTTTAATGTATCTGTGTACAACTGATGTCTAAAACAGTAGTTTAAGGTCACACGATCAGACATACATCTCACTTATACACAGATAAATAAAAGGGAAATAGAACAAATCTTATATAGAATAGACACGGATGGCGGAGTAGAACTGTACTATTTACACCTGTAAATTTATACCTATTTTTTTCTGCTATGTTGTCTTTGGATTTTTTGATAATGGAGTTGATGTTCAGGTTTCCATCAATGTTATTTGTTTTTTTTTTCTCAGACAAATAATGAAAATGCATTTTAAAAATGTTTGCAAATTGTGCTGCTCACCTCTTGTTTCCATCTGTTTGACTCACAGCAAATTAAATGCTCATCTGATGATGAAATGTCTTGACAAGAACTGCTGCACACAGAATAGAGTTAGGTACCTCTTCCTTCTGTTTACACTCACCATTAATTTCCATATCCCCTTTCATATTCCTGGAACTGACGTTGAGAAAATAGTCATCCTGCATCCATCCACTGCCTTCATGACCTTCACCCAGGGCTTCTGTGGGTCTGAGCAAAGAAAAGCAGAGTGAGAATAAAAAAGGCAACAAGCAGAGTAAAAATACAGGGTGATTCAAGAAGATTGTAAAATGATTTATTTCTCTTGTAAATCATTACAGAACAATGCAGTAAACTGTAAATGGTTTAAATGAGCATAAAGTTTATTATGTAATTGTACAAGGTCTCAGTATGAACCTCCTCCAGCTGTACAGACAACATCAACGCCATAGTCAGATTCATCCCATACTGGATTGAGCATGTCGGGTGTCGCTGCACTCACGGCTCTTTCAGTGAGATTTCGGGGATCATCCAGTGTTGTGGAACCAACGCCGAACGCTCTGAGCTGTTGGAGGTTCACTGCCCACGAAAATCACACTGCACAGTTATGATGGATTCACGCTTATTGAAGTGGAGAACCCAGAACGTTTTCTGCTCAGCGGTCGCATCTCATCGCAGACTGAAGGAGCCATCTTCCACTGACAGTCAGAAACTCTATGACCCCTCTTTCAACTGGTATGTGATTGGTTCCTCGGCGCCCCACGGTTGTAAAAATATGGCACTTTAAAATCGGATTAATCTTTTTGAATCACCCAATATGGGTTTTGAACTCTATATAAAATTATATAAAAAAATATACATAAAATTGTTTATTTTATTAACATAAATGATTGAACACTCTATTCTGTCACTACCAAAACAATCATAAAACTATTGACAAATTACCAAATGTTTCAGTAGTGACAGTTTAGGTAGTGACAACTTTAGCTCACTTTGGGCAAAACTCAAATATGCTAGCCAGTACATGACTAGAAACACACCTTGAACAATTATACATAAAATAATTTTCCATTAAAACACGAAATATGCATTTCAGTTGTTACACATTGATCTTCGGACACATTTACTTCAAAACAGTGTTATCTAACTGCTCACCATATGGCCATGAGGAACAGGGATGCGGGGCGGGTTATAAGGCTGCACCTACTGATGATGTGGGACAGCATTTTTTAAATTATTTGTTTAATTATTATTTAAAAATAAAACTAAGATTAAATTTATGTGTTAGGTTTATGTAAAGCAAATCACAGATGACTACATGAGATTTTCTGGACACTCGCATAGACTTTAGAAAGTGAAATAATTAGAAGAATTAATAGAGCGGCAATAACACATGGTAACACATGGTTTTGTTAAAAAATATTAATTGTGATAAAAGTCTTTCATTTCTTACATTAAATTTACTGTAATTAAGGGTCAGATTTATTTCCTGATATTTTCAGTGTGAGACTGAGCTCATTAATCACAAAGAGATTTTTACTCATCTTAACCATGGATGCCAATTATTATGGAGCTGACAGGATGTAATGTTGATAATGGCAAAACAGTGGTAAATCGGGGTATTATTTAATCTTTCTATGTCCTCTCTCAGACATCAGGTAGCTATTTATACCCATTTCAATTAATAACTTTCTGTGAGGGAGCTTTCAGAGGTGGACGTCTGGTTCCTATCACCACCACAGTGATCAATTCTGACTCAGTAAGTTTCTCTAGAACAGAGCGTTTCACACCAAACCACTCTGAATGACTCTGGTCACATATTAACAATTTAACTGTGTAGAAATAAAAAAACAGTGGATTTTCTCTTTAATCTGTCCGGTGTGGTCATGATAAGTAGATAACCGATATGAGTTTTTCAAGGGTCAATGACAGTATTAAGAGAGCAGTGTGGCCGATGACTGTCAGATTGCTCTTAACTACAGGCCATATTAAGAAATGAGAACAAACCTAACTCAACTTTACATTTTTATTACATTTAAAACATACTTAACACTGTAAGCTGTAATATTGCTATGGTTTAGCTGGAGAAGGAGCTGTTTCTCTTAAATATTTCCATTTCACAATAACTCAAGTCCCTGAGCTCTTCAGTACATCCCATTCTGCTGCATGTCTTAGCTACATGTGCACCTGTTTCTAATGGGTGTGGCTGAAATACTTGAACCTTCTGAACCCTAAAATGTCCACATACTTTTGTCCACGTAGTTCATGTAAATATAGCAAATCATATTCTCAACATTTAAAATGAGTTTTAAGTGATAAACATCAAGTGATAAAGAGGAAGAATACTTTAAAATACTGTGAGAAATTGTCTATAAAAGTGTATGTCAGGCAAGTTCATTGGCCAGTTGCTTGCCTGGTCGGGCCAGTGACAGTCAGTGTGGCTCATTTAAAGGAACGTTGCTAGGTATAACGTATCCTTTGTAGGGTCCTCGACAGCAGCGGTCTGCGGAGAAGTCTTCCTCTGCAGCTAGTGCCAAATGATCTGGCCTATCGGGATTCAGAACTACAGCGGCGTCATGACCGCTGACCCCTGACCCCCGATCAGCCATGAGGCTGAAGTTTGAGGTGTTTGAACAGTGAGTGAGAAGTGAGGAAGGCGGCTACTGAGGTAAATAAAAAGAGGGGGCATAAAAAAACTGATATTAAACGAATAAAACGAGACTTGCAGCTTGCAGTATTGCTGCATCTGTAAAGAGGTTCAACACAAAGCCTTATTTTTCTGTTTTCTACTCTTAAGCATGAAAATACAACTGAAGTTGAACTCTGAATGCACAAATTAGCTAACAATGCCACTGCCCAGTCTGCCACCGCTCCGCTCACCTGTTTAGTTCAACTTAAGATTCAGCTTTAGCTAGTAACATTAGCCTGCTTTTGCCCATTTTATTTTGGTTAAGAACTTAATTTGATTAAGAACTGGAATCTTTATTACCAAAAAACACACAAAACAACATACAAATTTTTTAAAATTCAAAATTTGTAAAATGAAAATGAGTTGATGCCATGTTTGAATTTCTATCATTGAAAATCATTTAATTATTTTCATAATAATAAAGAAGGAAATTCCAACAGACCCCCTGGTTCATACAGGGATGGGGAGACAGGGCTGGTTCATTGGTAGGGGTACAGGGATTGGGAGACAGGGATGGTATTGTGTAGGGGTACAGCTGGGAGACACGATGGTTCATTGGTAGGGGTACAGGGATTGGGAGACAGGGATGGTTCATTGGTAGGGGTACAGGGATTGGGAGACAGGGATGGTTCATTGGTAGGGGGCATGGGGATAAGCAGACAGGGCTGGTTCACTGGTAGGGGGTATGGGGATGGGGAGACTGGGCTGGTTCATTTGTAGGGATTCAGGGATGGGGAGACAGGGCTGGTTCATTGGTAGGGGGTATGGGGATGAGGAGATAGGGCTAGTTCATTGGTAGGGGTACAGGGATTGGGAGACAAGGCTGGTTCACTGGTAGGGGGTATGGGGATGAGGAGATAGGGCTAGTTCATTGGTAGGGGTACGGGTAATGGGAAGACCACACTGGTTCATTGTAGGGGTACGGGGATTGGGAGACAGGGCTGGTTCATTGGTAGGGGTATGGGGATGGGGAGACTGCGCTGGTTCATTGGTAGGGATATGGGGATAGGGAGACAAGGCTGGTTCATTGGTAAGGGATATGGGGATAGGGAGACAAGGCTGGTTCATTGGTAGGGGTACAGGGATTGGGAGACAGGGCTAGTTTATCAGTAGGGGGTATAGGGATGGGGAGACAGGGCCGTTTTTATTAGGTAAGGGTATGGCGATGGGGAGACAGAGCTGGTTCATTGGTAGGGGTATGGGGATGAGGAAACAGGGCTGGTTTATTGGTAGGGGTTATGGGGATAATAAAACCAAAATTTTATTTTGGTTAAGAACTTAATTTAATTAAGAACTGGCATCTTTATTACCAAAAAACACACAAAAAACATAAAAATCTTTAACAAGCCTAGTTCATTGGTAGGGGTGTGGGGATGAGGAAACCAGGCTGCAGAGCCTGAAGCTGCATCCTTTGGGCCTGGAACTGGACAGGGACAACTGATTTAGTTTGAATAGCTTGCTAAAAGTTTGTCCGCATTGGTTAAATGTCGGCTTAAAGACAAGTGAAATATAAACACTCAATTCACTGTGAAGATGAAGTAACTAAAAAGTAGCCTACTTCACTATGGTCTAACAGGTTCACTTCCTTCACTCACCTATCCTTCTGTGAAAAACTGGGTGACATACTGTCGCCCTTTCTTTTCTCTCTCCCGTCTTTCTTTTTATTATATTTATTTTTGGAAACCAGATTTTTCTTTAGGAAGCTGAGACATGATGCTCCACTGGCAATTCTAACTTGCAATTTGCTGTAGCGAAGTGTCGGTTGAGCCGGCTCCCTGTCTTTCGTATCTTTTTTCTTCGTTTTTTTGTTGGCAATTAATACAAAACAGGATAATAGGATGATCTTTTTATCCTGCTGGGGGCTGACTGTCTACAGCACACAGAGACGAGGGGAGTGCATAAACAGCAGAAAACAAGATGAGTGACAGTAACAATTGAAGTAACATTTGGATGCATTTTAATAGCATTGACAACACAAAGGCAGATTGTAAAATTTGCAAGATGAAACTCATATCGAGCAGGGTCTACTAACAACTTTCACAGGCATATTAGAACTGTACATCCTACAGTGCAGTTTGAGAAAAGAGGCAAGCTAGCGCACCTGCTACTAAACATGGAAAAGCCAGTGCATCTACTGGAACCATTGCTGCAGTGTCTACAGCCACACGTCAGGCATCATTACACCATGGCATACTGCAGCAACCCAGAGCTCTATGAGCCAATTCATGCCGAAAGTCATAACCCAGCAAGACAGAACACAGCTGATGAGGAACTGGCTAAAATGATTGCAAGAGATTTCCAACCATTCTGAATTGTGGAAAACAAGCAATTTAGAAGCTACACCCAAGCTCTCAATCCAATTTATGTTCTTCCAAGCAGGAAAACACTCTCCCAAACATCCATTCCAAGATGGTATGACAGAGAATGTGCATCACTGCAAGAAAGGGTTAAAAGGGCTACAGCAGTTTGCCTGATGACTGACTGCTGGACATCCCGAAAGAAGAATGTGTTACACGGTTGAATTCAACATTTCATACACTTAAACACCAATAAATTTAAAGAGTGACACTGTGACCTTACTAAAACTGTAATTCTAGGTCTGGCAGATAGAAGCCTGGGAAACTGGGCAGCGGTTAGAATTAGGTCATTCTGAGGAAAACCAGCAAATGTTTTTAAAAGTTACATTCAGATCAAGAATGTGATTATGGCAGTGTGTGGGCTCAATGACAGTCTGGGCAAAACCCACAGTTTCAAGCATAAATACAAACACAGATCTAAATTATAAGTTGCTCTGCTTTACAAAAATGCATATTACAATCCACGACGATAATCCAGCCCAGTGTATTTTAAGCCCAGGCACAGGAACACATTTTTACTCTTTATTTTTGCTTTCCTCTTTGTTTCTGCATCTGTTGTTGGGCCTGTTGGTGAGGCTACTGAACCAGAGTAGACTGCACAAGCAAATAGTGCAACAATTCAAGAATAACGTTTCTCAATGTAAAACAGCAAAGAACTTTTGCTTTTCATCATCTACAGTACATAATATCATTAAAAGATTCAGAGAATCTGGAGAAATCTCTGTATGTAAGGGACAAGGCCAAAAAACAGTATTTGCTGGCCGTGATCTTTGGGCCCTCAGACGGCACTGAAAACAGACATGATTCTGTAGTGGAAATCACTGCATGGGCTCAGAAAAACTTCTGAAAACCACTGTCTGTGAAAACAGTTCGTCACTGCATCCACAAATGCTAATTAAAACTCTTAAATGCAAAGAAGAAAGCATATAGAAACAGGATCCTGGAATGCTGCCACCTTCTCTGGGCCCAAGCTCATTTAAAATGGACTGAGGGGAAGTGGAAAAGTGTCCTGTGGTCTGAAGAATTAACATTTGAATTTCTTTTTGGAAATCATGGACACTGTGTCCTCCGGGCTTGTTATCAGTTCACAGTTCAAAAGCTAGTATTCATGGTGGTATAGGGGGGCATTAGTGCACATGGCATAGGTGACGTGCAGATCTGTGAAGGCACCACTGATGCTGAATGATATATACATGTTTTGGCAACATATGCTGCCATCCAGACGATGTCTTTTTCAGGGAAGGCCTTGATTATTTCAGCAAGACAATTCAAGCAAGTCAAACCACATTCTGCACGTATTACAACAGCATGGCTGCGTATTAAAAGAGTCTGGGTGCTAAACTGACCTGCCTGCAGTCCAGACCTGTCACCACTGAAAACATTTGCCGCATTATGAAATGAAAAATACGACAACGGAGCCCCCAAACTGATGAGCAGCTGAAATCCTATGTTAAGCAAAAATGGGAAACTTTCAAAACTACAGCAGTGTCTCCTCAGTTCCCAAACGCTTACAGAGTGTTGTTAAAAGAAGAGGTGATGCAGCACAGTGGGAAACATGCCCCCATTCAAACTTTTTTGGAACAAGCTGTTGGCATCAAATTCAAATTCGAAATGGGTATATATTTTTCAAAAAACAGTCATTACTGAAACAATCATATCTCTACCAAAACTTTCAGTAGTGACTGTTTGGTAGTGACAACTTTAGCTCAGTTTGAGCAGAATCCAAAAACACTAGACAGTACATGACTAGCAAACACAGCTTGCTAAAGTTGTACACACATAAAATCATCATATTTTTTATTAAAACGCTAAAATATTAGAAAATAATTAACTCTTAATTACAGAAAATATGTGCTTCAGTAATGACAATTTTTAATGTTCCACACTAATTTTCAGACTTCGTCTATGGACTAAAACTCTTTGAGATTCAGTAGTGACATGAAAACGTAGGACAACATGCTTTTGAATAAAGTTTTTTTTTAATTCAGAATTAAACTCTAAAATCTAAATCGTTTTAACTTAAATCAAACAACACTGAAAAAAACAAACGGAAAAATTAGTATTTTTACAAGTGTAAATTTAGAGGTTAGGGTTTGGGACAGACACCTCCCAGTAGAAAGTACCCTATAAATGATGATTTTGTATATATGTTTAGCTTATTACAATCTCAATTAATGCATTGGGTTTAAAGAGTTCATAAACTAAACATTGTAAATATCTAAGGTCTGAATACATAATTGTTATTTTAAGAAGTTTTTTCTTTACTGTGGCAGTATTTGATTCAGCAGAATGGTCCATTTATTCTAATGTTATTTACAGTTTTTACTGACAAAAACACACTGCTGAGAAAAATGGGTTTAAACAATTTGCTTAGATGACTTTTGCACAATACAGTATATTGAATACATTCTTCAGTGGTCAGGACCCCCATAGGACCCCCACAGAGCAGGTACTATTTGGGCGGTGGATCATTCTCGGCATTGCAGTAACACCGATGTGGTGGTGGTGTGTTAGTATGTGTTGCGCTGGTCTGAGTGGATCAGACACAGCAGTGCTGCTGGAGGTTTTAAACACCTCAGTGTCACTGCTGGACTGAGAATAGTCCACCAACCAAAAATATCCAGCCAACAGCGTCGTGTGGGCAGCGTCCTGTGACCACTGATGAAGGACTAGAGGATGACCAACACAAACTGTGCAGCAGCAGATGAGCTATCGTCTCTGACTTTACATCTACAAGGTGGACTGACAAGGTAGGGGTGTCTAATAGAGTGGACAGTGAGTGGACACAGTGTTTAAAAACTCCAGCAGCACTGCTGTGTCTGATCCACTTGTACCAGCACAACACACACTAACACACCACCACCACGTCAGTAACTGTTACTGTTACTGTTACTGCAGTGCTGAGAATGATCCACCACCTGCTCTGTGAGGGTCCATGGGGGTCCTGACCACTGAAGAACAGGGTAAAAGGGGGCTAAGAAAGTATGCAGAGAAACAGATGGACTACAGTCTGTAACTGTAGAACTACAAAGTGCACCTATATAGTAAGAGGAGCTGATAAAATCGACAATGAGGGTAGAAAAAGGAGGTGGTCATAATGTTATGCCTGATCGGTGTGTACATATATATATATTCCTTAAATCTAGTATAAAGGTAGGAACAGAAATAGATTTGTTTTACTGTGTATTTTGCTTCTCCTTTTCCTACGGTCTTCATAAACTTTTTCACCCAGTCCAGGTCTGGATCATAACACAGCTTCCGGCCTTTACGCGTCCAAAAACTGGAGTTAAAATGAACAAGCAAACAAATCAGCACTGGGAAAAGAGAACTTGAGAAGCAACACCAAGATCCACAAAGCATGAAGGCTGAAGAAACACGATTGAGAACTTTTGCACAGTGATGGTTAAGAAATAGAGTCAGTGGTTATGAGTAATAGAGAAACTCTGATGATCAGTGCACTTACGCAACTGCGTTGATGGGACAAAGTCCCGCGCTGTAGACTCTATAATAAGCAAATCTCTTCGCTGGTATCCTTGTATTTGATATTTTTAGACAGCAGTGCGGGGGCCAGCTCGCAGCTACAAGAAACAAAATCATTCAGATGTTAGTCCAGGTATATATCAGTGCTGCTGTATGAAAACATCCTGATTCATCACGAGTTAGTCTGGATCATTTCTGTTAGAACACAGTCAGTAAAATTTTCACACAATATAAAGCCTGCAGTCACGAAGTTTCGACATGACAGCGACAATACAGTCTACTGACTGTCTACCACCAATTGGAACTGCTCCCAACTCACAGCATCAAGTTCAGTGCCACTGGTGGCGAAAACAGTAGCAGCGGCCTTCTACTTTCTCTGATGCTCTCTGCATCATCAATGTTGACAAGGGTGCTGCTCGTGTGCGTGGGTGAGACGAATGGGTGGCCTCTTGGTGGCATAGTCACAAAGCTAAAGCTAATGCTAAAGCTTAACTACGCAAGCACCACTCCTCTCTCATTCATGAGTCAAACAGGTTTGCCCCACTCAGTGAGACACCCTCTGAGATGCCTGCTGAAAGAGCTTAAAGAGGTTAAAGGTGATTCTATTTAATGGCATGTGAAAATAGACTCTCCTTTAGGGGCACCAGCAGGAGCTACATTTAGCTGTATACCAGGAGCCAGGGTGTTGGACCTTAAAGAGAACCTGAAGCTGCTAGCTAGCCGTAGGTATTGGAGGATGGTTGTTCATGTAAGTACTAATGATATTTGTCTGCGACAGTCAGAGATAACACTAGTGTGTATGTGGTGTTTCACTGCATGGATGGGTTAGACTGCGGAGGTGTCCTTATTATAAGGGTCTCTTAATCATCCCAGTTCGACAACAGGTTATGGTTTGTTACCCACTGGCTCTTCCTTTTGGTTAGGCCAGAGTAACCAGAGTCTCTGGAGTTACTGCTGGAGTCACTGCTGCTCTCTGTTAACACTTAGTTTTTCCTTGCCACTGTCACCATTAGATTGCTCCTGGGGGCTTGAACCTGATTTTTTCTGTAAAGCTGCTTTGTAACAACGTCTGTTGTAAAAAGTACAATATAAATAAACTTTGACTTGATTCATCTGGGACACGCATAACGGGACACATCCTTCTCCCTGTGACCCCCAATGGACAAACCATTACCTGATGTCCTGGTTACCCACACATCCAGCACCAGTGACCCATGCCACTAGATGTATGGATGTGGGTACTGCCAATGGACAAGACCTAGCCAGATGTCCCAGCCAGCCATACATCAAGCACCAGCAGCCCCATGCCGCTAGCTGTGTGGCTGTGGTTATAGCCAGCCCTCAGATCACTTCCATCATCTTCTCCACCCATACTGGCTTTGGTGACGCACTTGACTCCTCTACAGCTCTGACTGCAGGATTGGTACACCATGAAACTGCTGATAACACAATCTCCAACACCAACACCACACATATGCACACACACTGGGGTGATTTCTAGCCCCACCCTCCCCAGTCAGAGTGCATAGCACATTAAACCAAGTGAATAAATGCTGAATGACACAAAACTAACGTGCACAAACGTTTCTTGAACACACTATGCATACGATGTTAGGAATGTGATCTTCTCGCTGTACAACGCTGTGCAAACCTCACCTGCATGAACTGACCCTTCTGATGCTGCTGCTGCTGCTGCACAAACTTAAACTATCTAATTATAATCATTGCTTCACCTGATTTTCCCTGTATTTTAATATCTTATACTAATGCTGTTTCCTATCTGGTGTCGACCAGAGGAGGATGGGTTCCTCTTTTTGAGTCTTGGCTTTTCTCAAGGTTTCTTCCTCTTGCTCTTAGGGAGTTTTTCCTCGCCACTGTCGCCACTGGGGACTCTCATGGGGACTTGGACCCGGATTTTTCTGTAAAGCTGCTTTGTGACAACACAACTTTGATTTGACTTGATGGTAAAACAAAATGCTTGGCTTAATAAAACATCATGAACTGCTTCTGGGGAGGAAGGATTCTTCAGAAATCTCTCACTGTTTGAATGTAATCCTGCCAGTAATCACCCTGTTGTTATAATGTAGTCTACTTGTAATCTGATTAGTGTCTTTTTTCAGTAACTGTAACAGAATAAAGTGATGTTTATTTGTTCCTATATTACATAACATCGTAAAATGTGTTGTGTCACTACCTAACCCTGTGTACTAACAGTAAAAGCAGGTGATAATATTTAGCTGTTAGCATCTGAAAGCATTGACACTGAGCTGCTGTTTGACCAATATAAAGAGAAGAACTGTTTTCCTGTAGCTGTTTGTAGAAATAGTCATGTAGCAGCTGTGAGGCAACAGCAGCAGTGTGGTCACCTGCAGAGCTGAGAGGAAATACGTATGCTAACGACACACAGGACAGTGGTATTTTTAGAAAAACAAAACTTCCACTTTGTACCACTAACTGAAGCACAGTCAATGTATAATCACTGTCATGAGAAAACCTCATATTTATGAAATGGTAACTTTATAGGAGAAAAAGATAAATAAAAGTATTGAAGTACTCAATTACTGAAGATATCTACTCTCTCTTTTGCTGCATGTACAATATGCACTGTACAGACTGAGCACAATATACAGCATATAGTAATGATAGCAAATTTAAGGCCAAGTGCTAAAATCACTTTTGCTGTCTATTATTGATCTTGCAGAAAGAACTGTTTTTATGTCTTGAAGTTTTAATGATACCCGACTGTAGGAGGATAGATTGTATCCAATGATCTGCATCTTTCAGAAACCAAACAGCTTATCCTTACCGCTGGTGATTACAAAAGCATGTAATATCATATTACCTGTCACCCATATCTCATTGAAACAAATGAAAATAAGAAATTTTGCTGAAAGTGCAGATTATAAACTCTCAACTGATACCACCCAAACCTGTTGATACAAAATGTAAATCAAATCTAAAAGTAAATTATTACATAACTATGTAAATAAATATGTAATTACATTCTTACATTTAAGTACTGTAGCAAAATGACAATAATAAATCTAATCTTAATGAGCATGTGAGGATAGATACTGATGGCAGAGTAGATCTGTAACATTTACACCTCTAGATTTTCTGGCATGTCCTCTTTGGAGTTTTCTTGATGATCGAGTTGATCTGTAGGTTTCCATCAATGTTATTTCTCCATGAAAAAAGAAAAGTGAAATTGCATTTTAAAAACATTTGCAAATTGTGCTCGCAGCCTGTTCCTAGCAGTTTGACTCATAGCAACTAAAAAGTGTTAAATAATGATAAAATGTCTTGACAACAACTCCTGCACACAGAATAGCACCTCCTTTTATCTACACTCATCATTCATTTCCAAATCACCTGTTGAATTCAGTGTGGGCCAAAAAGCAGTAGTCACTGGAACTGCTGTTGAGGAAACATTCGTCCTTCTTCCATCCACTGCCTTCATGGCTCTTTTCACCCAGGGCTTCTGTGGGTCTGAGCAAATCTTGACTCCTTTCGCAGTAGTGAATCTATTAAACCAAAGAGAAAGCTGAGTGAGAATGACAATACAACAAGGGAAGTAAGAGAGAGAGCATCTCTTTACATACATGCATAAGCAGAACTCAAAAACACTAGGCGGTACATGACATCATATTTTCATTAAAACACAAAATCAGTTCAATCAGAAAATTGTCACAAAATAGTGACAATTCTTAATGTTCCACACTGATTTTCAGACTTTGGGACACATTTACTTCAAAACAGTGGGATTTAATTGCTCACTGTGTGGCCATGAGGGACAGGGATGCAGTCTCACTTCCTGCTGGCTAAAATAAGGCCCTGTCTACTGTTTTGGTAGTGAGTTAATGTACTGCTCTGTAATGTGTTTAGTGCTGTGTTATATGTCAGTGTATTTGGTATTGTGTTGCCTGTACTGTGATTGTATTTAGACCATTCTGTTCTGCCTATTCTTGTTTATCCCTACATGTTCATCTTTGTCACACCTGTCACTTGTCATGTACAGGCTGGGCCTAATCTTGGCATCAGTCCAGCTATGACAATTTGCTATTCAAAATGACCAGCGAACCTACATTTTTACTGTTTTGTGGTGGTTTTATACATTCAGCTCCACAATTATCAGTACTGTTGGTAAAGATGGGTCAAAAAGGTAAAAAACAATGTTTTTGTGGTTAATTAGCTCAATTAGAATTATAGAGAATTTATAGAGTGGCAATAATTGTGAAACATTTTTAAATAAATATACACTTTAATAAGTGTATTTGGTTTTTTAAAGAAAATTAACTTTGCATGAGGGAGCTTTTAGAGGTGGACGTCTGGTTCCTATCACCACCACTGTGAACAATTCTGACTCAGTAAGTTTCTCCAGAACAGAGCGTTTCACACCAAACCACTCTGAATGACTCTTTACAATCTCAACAATTTAGTTATGCAGAAATACAATATGTACAACAGCTTCATTTTTCTAAAGTCCCTGAGCTCTTCGGAACATCTCACTCTGCTGCACATCTTAGCTACATGTGTGATTTTATGCACCTGTTTCTAATGCATGTGACTGAAATAGCTGAATATTCTATATAATGTGACCACAAGCTTTTGGCCATGTAATGTACATTAATATACCAAATCATCCATCCATCCATCCATCATCTAAACCGCTTATCCTTCTGGGTCGCGGTGGGGTGCTGGAGCCTATCCCAGCTGTCATTGGGCGGAAGGCAGAATACACCCTGGACAGGTCGCCAGTCCATCGCAGGGCAGATACCAAATCATATTGTCAACTTTTAAAATTAGCTTTTCAGTAATAAACATTGATAAAGAGCAAGAACACTTTTAAATACTATAAGAATTTATCTACATCTCTCTAACATGTCCAGTTGTAAACACTGAGGAAAGAGTACTCACACAACAGCGTCAATAAGGCAGAGAAGTGACTTCTGCACATAATAACTCTTTATATTTGAGATCTGGAGAACTGCGTTTGAAGTCTTGAGGCATTCACATAAACCTGGCCCAGTCACTGTTGGCACAAAGAACATTAGCTTAAACAAAAACCTGTCACACCAGGCAAATCACTACATCACAGCAAGCAATTAGAAGTAAGGGAAATATAAAACAGGGCAGAAAGAAGAAGAAAGGCCTTTAAGGATCTCTCACCTTGGAAGACGGCGGCTGCCAGCAGCATTACAGTCAGACACTGCAGCGCAGCTCTCATCTCTTCAGCTTGCAAAGACTGATCAGTGATATCTGATAGTAGCCCCCCCAAGTATTTCTTTATATGCGTTTGAGAGGGGAAAGAACACTTCAAAGCTTCCTACCACATACTCTCACCCTCCACCCACCCTCTACCTCCAGCTATCAGCCAGCAAGTGACATTTGCACAGCTTAGTGTTAGGCTACATTCTGCATTCTAACAAACCTGATTGGTAGAAGCAGAAAACTACAATTTGTTCTCAGATCGTATCTTTCTGGCTTGACAGTTGAGATCTGTATATGTTAGTGACCCTTATCTGTCATTGATGTGAACAGACCTCTGCCCTGAAAGGATGCACATGTGCATATATTTGGAATCATCCTAAAAGTTACCTGCTCTGCCAACACTGGATGATGACATTCTATAAAAAAAATTGTTGTTTTAACTTTTAAAAAAAGTAAGTAACTGAGCTGCCTTAGAGCTTCAAATTACACAACAAAAATCAGTCTTACATTCTTATAACTATGGAAGCTGTTCCCAAGTTCCACTTCATTTATTAAGTTTTATTTTTTTCTGCCCATATAACAGCCAAAAATAAACTTCCAGCATCACTTTCAATTTCAGACATAATTTTTTTCACCCTCGCATTTTTTTCCCGCTACAGTATTAAGTTTTATTTCCTTACCCTTCCAGGATCAGGAGAAAAAATTCCATGGGAAGCTGACTGGCTAACAATCAGGCCCCTCAGCTCTTCCCTTCCAGGGCATGCCACCAGAGGAGAGCTGCCTGGGCACGAAAGGACCCTTTGAGAGAAGCTCTTTATTCACTTCCACTCATTTCACACCTGAAGCCATATTACAACCCCATTTCCAAAAAAGTTGGGACACTGAAAAATGTAAATAAAAACAAAATCTTATATTTTTATCTTATATACCTTATATTTTCATTGAAAATGCTTCAAAGACAATATATCAAATGTTGAAACTGAGAAATTTTATTGTTTTTTGAAAAATATTTGCCCATTTTGAATTTGATGCCAACAACTTGTTCCAAAAAGTTGGGATGGGGGCAAAAAAAGGCTCGTAAGTTTGTGTAATGCTAAAAACACCTGGTGGTTAATTGGCAACAGGTCAGTAACATGACTAACATAACATCCCAGAGAGACTGAGTCTTGATGAGGAGGGGTTGACCACTCTGTGAAAGACTGCATGAGCAAATAGTGCAACAATTCAGGAATAACGTTTCTCAACATAAAATAGCAAAGAACTTCTGCTTTTCATCATCTACAGTTCATAATATCATTAAAAGATTCAGAGAATCTGGGGAAATCTCTGTATGTAAGGGACAAGGCCAAAAACCAGTATTTGCTGGCTGTGATCTTCGGGCTCTCAGGCGGCACTGCATAAAAAAACAGACATGATTCTGTAGTGAACTGCATGGGCTCAGAAACACTTCTGAAGAACACTGTCTGTGAACACAGTTCTTCACTCTAAACTCTAAAACACAAAGAAGAAACCAGAAATAAACAGAATTCAGAAACACTGCCACCTTCTCTGGGCCCAAGCGCATGTAAAATGGACTGAGGTTAAGTGGAAAAGTGTCCATGTGGTCTGACAAATCATTTGTCAAATTTGAAAATTTGCTGTCCCAACTTTTTTGGGATGAGAAAAAATCAGTGTTTTTAAACAAATTGGAGACCTACCATCATGTTTCCTCAAGAATTTAATAGCTGAAAGCAGTAGTTGTTAACATAATATGGACACGAGGCATTGGAGACAGGATGTAGGCGTGAGTTTCAAAACAAATGTATTAAGAATAAAGAAAACAATGATAAAAAATAGTAAAGAAAGTACAGAGCAAACACAGAGCAAATTGACAAGGTGCACATGATGACTCAAAACCAAAGGACACTGCAACAAGAGGGCTACTTATACCTAAACTGGGACACAGCTGGGATGGATTACAACTGGGAAAATGTAAGGTGAGAGACATGCGAGAAGGTAAACAAGACAAGAAAATATGATAAATACAGAGCTAAGATAGGGAAAACATTCCAGGTACAAAAAGCAGACCACAAGCACACTGTTATATAGCTAAGTTAGCTAAGATAATAAGGTTAACAATTTAATGGCTGACATTTGATTGGCAGGCCAAAAGCCAGATCTACACAAAGTCTTGGCTGGCGTCCAAACACAAGGTCATGAAGTGAAATCCAGACACCTCATTCTTAGTGCAGTTGTAAACATGCACTAGAGGGTTTAACAAAGTCATGCCAGACACTTTTTGTGGTTTTCCGAGGGACCCAACATGTTCAACAAGGTCCTGTTGAACCGTTCGACGGGGATCGCTCTTGCATGGTAGGAAGTCATCCTGAATTTCTGGATACCAGCAAGTTCGCAAAGCTCCTTTGTCATGCAACACTCAAAGTCTGGACCTTTATAACTATTGACCTTCTCAGGTATGTCATAATAGACAATGAAATGGTCACATAAGCAACTATTACTGACTTCTAGCTAGATGTAGGGATGGCAACAGCATTTTGTTTTCCTGCCCTGTAATGTAACCGAAAGTTCAATGTGGACAATAAAGCTAACAATCTATAGCTTGTGCCATCAGGTTAAGCAGAAATAAGGAGACATAGAATAAGCTGCCATATAGGTAGTCTTGGAACTTTTCCATTACTGCCCATTTGAGGGCAAGAAATTCCAATTTGTGGGCTGGGTATCTAGCTTCACATTAGACAGGCCACGGCTTGCGTACGCAATGATATATTTAACGCCTTCTTTTCCTGCAATGCTCGGATCTGTATGTAAGATGTATGGCACCTTGGAGTCAGTAAATCCAAGAATAGAAGCAGATGTCAGTTTGTCAATTGTGATTTCAAAGGCTGTCTGGCAAGCTGGTGTCCATCTCTATCTATCACCAAAAGATTTTTTTGGGATTGTGATATTTCTCTGACTCTGCTTTAATCTTGCCATGCTTCTGCAGTGGGGTGCTGCAGTTCAAGTCACCCATGCAGCACGTCATGAGCTTTTGTAACGTGCCAGGGGGCATTACTGACCCCTTGCGGCATTCTGTTAAACTCAAAGAATCCAAGCAGGCAGACAAATGCAGTTTTGTACTTGTCAGCTTCCTCCATCTCAATCTGGTAATATCCAGATTTGAGGTCTAGTACTTAGAACCATTTAGAACCAATCATTGCAGGAAATGACTCTTCTAAATTGGGCAAAGCATATGAGTCCTTCACCGTTTGGAGACTGAGTTTTCTATAGTCTGTACAGAGTCTCATGTCCTTTTCTGACGACTACAATTGTTGAAGAAAAAGGTGATTCTAATTCACAAGTTACTTAAGATCAAGAAGCTCCTGCAAATGATTCCACACAGCTTTGATGTCCTGTAAATGTATTGGTCTAGGCCTATGCTTAACTGCTGTCATCACTGAGCTTTGTGTGATGTTTCACTCTATCAGTGTGTCCAAAGTCAAGATCGTGTTGGGCAAATACATCAGGCATAGAACTGAGCTTCTCAGTTATGCATTGCTTCCATTCCTCTGGCACTGGAGAGTCTTATAAGTTGAATTTGAGTTTTGTTTTGTGGTCAAAGTTCAATGGATTTTCAGAAGCTTGAGGTGTAAGGGTCTTAGCACTCTGCATGGAATTGACCTCAGCTATCACTTCTTGGAGCAGTGAGGATCACAGAGATGCAAGCAGGTGACTTGGATGGAAAACCTGTTAAACGATTTTGGACCAAAATACCTCCAGGCAAGCAAAAGCTTGGGTGACTCAACAATTACCTATGCATTGCTTCCCCTCTACCTTTTACTCCCTTCCATAACTCTGGACTGACCAGCAAGGATAATCTGAAGCTCTTTACTGCATAACCTTGCTACACCACAGCTGGGTTCAGCACCCTTTTTGTGGTGGATTTCAAGGGTCTTAAGGACTACTCTATAGCCACAGGACAATAACTGGGGTTTATTTAGTAAGAATAACGCTCATTTGCTCAAGAACATCTAAAGTGTTACTCCCAATTAAGACTGATTGCAAGCTAGAAGAGAGGTCAGGCACAACTAGGGCCAACATTGGCATCTCAATTTCTTGTCCCAGGATGCTTTTGGAAAATTTGACCATTAGCTCCTTCTACTTCAAGTATGTCACTCAATAGGTACATGTGATAGATTCTGCTCATAGAAAGAGTTAAGAATTGTGGTCACTTCTGCTGCATATTTGGCTGCAATCAGGCCTTTTGGCAGTATTACTGTCTGACTGACATCGGAACAAGTGATGACAAAAATATTTTTTTTCTAAGGGCTTTTGATTTGTTCTATAGTTTCCATTTGCCCTTCAGTAGGAACCGACTTAAATTGCCAAGCCTTTTCAAACCGTGCTTAGCTTTCTCCTTTTCTTTCAGCTGGTTTCACTTTGCAGCAACAAGAGAGAGCTTTGGGTCATTGCTACACTTTGGTTTGATACGGCCATCTTCACCACATTTAAAGCAGCACCAAGGCTTGGGTCTGTTACTTTGGATAACCATGTCATCTTCAGCTAGGCTTCTTGCGCTGAGCTAAGAGCTTGTCAGCAACTTACTTGATTTAGTTTTTTCCATTGTTTTTCTGGATTAACCATGTAAGCTGTGATTGCAGGTTAGCTACTTGTTTTTCAAACCCTGTATCTCTGCATTGGGTTCAACACTTGAGTTTACCATTGATGATTTACTGCATGTCTCATCATGCCGTACGCAATGGAAACGGGAGTACACTTTTTGTCTATAAACGCTAAAGCATTACCATTCCCTACAGTACCATAAGCAGGGGCTTGTATTTCCAAGTACAATTCTGGTGGAGAGTCAGGGGGTAGATGTTTGACTGTATCAATGACAGGTGATACGAGGCTATAAGTAATCTGTGTGATTTTTACAGGTCAGAGGATTCAGAATCCCTCAAGAAGAGCTCAAGGCTGGAGCGACATGTTTCATAAACCACCTCATGATTTAGATGCAGGCAACGACCAGAGAAGGGTCAGAGGTTTTTAAAGTTTTTGTTTGTCTTCTATGAGTCGATCGAGATAAGGACTGATTGCATTCAGAGAAACTGTGTAGTATTGGTGTTGAACTGGGATGGGAACTGGTACATTTTGCATTCTCCAGAATATGAGATGTTGGACCTTTAGGTATGAATGATTCAAGCTCACTTTCAATTTTTAGGTCACCCATGTCAAGTACAGATGTGAAATCCTTACAACTCCACAACCTTCTTGAGCTTTCTGAGGAAAGTTCTCAGCGTCTCTAATGCCACTGTCTAGGAGCAAGTTTGAAATGTTTACATTATTAACTTGAACAGTCTCCATTTTAGGTATGTATTTAAATGTTATTTAAGTCTCTGGTTTCTAAGATTTGACTATGTTTAAGACCACTCCTGCCTGGCTCACCAAATTTATGTAGCACCTGTGCACCCCTAGTCACAAGGACTATGCTACTGGACCAGTTCCAGGGTCGTTGGGAGTGGTGCAATGTAAATGACTGAAAGTGTAAGGGGGTTACTTGTTGACGGTCTGGTAACCACTTTAGTTCTTTATTTTCAGAAAACATACTGTATTTTACTGCTTTATGCACTTGCTCCCCTCTTTTTTGTGCTATGAAGGTGTATTTTTTTTTCCAAGTTGCAGGAGTTGCAAGACACCATTTGCAGAACACCATTTGCTACACTACACACAGTTCTAGTTGCTGAATGGGTTTAATGGTTTAATAATAACTTAATTTCTTTACAACATTCTAATACGGATTATTATTTCTGCTCATTTAATTGTATTAACGATGTTTATTATATTATTATTGTTATTACTTTAAATGGTGCCAGCCATCATATTTGAACATGGGTTACACCACATTTGTTATGCTTCTTATACACATATTTTTTTGCCAATATGTTAAATTCAGCAAATAAACAGTAATTGTGTATTAAAATGTGCTAATATTTGTTCTCTATAGAGGATATATTAACTTATTTTCACTTAGAAAATCAACAAAACTTATCATTTGACTAGAGAGGCCCAAACCTTTGCCTGTGACTGTATTTAATTGAAGTGCAAATCGAGAATAGAGGAACGTAATTTCCCTCCACTGTGTACTTGTACATAGATGGAATGACAATAAAAGCCTCTTGACTTGACTTGAGAACACATTGGAATCAATAAATTCAATGCATTATTTTTTCAGTGCAGCTACAATGACTATATGTACAGTATATGTACTGATAATAAGAGCAACACTTGGCAGGAGGATAAAAAAAAGGTAAACAATCGGTATAAAGAGTTGTCTGCTGTCTGTCACTGACCAAACTGTGTGAAACCTCCAAGCACGCTCCCCCACACAGAGGAAGGGGAACTTCCCTCCAGCAGGGAGAGTACAGAGCGGTGAGAGACGGGAAGGAGAAACTCAGCTTGACTTCCAGCAAAGAAAAGTTGATTTCACTGGTGATTTCAGCACTTACTGTTATCTAGCGCCTCCTAGTGGTCATTTCTGAAGAAACATTTTAGGGAAACGGTCTTGAACAGGCCGCTCTTCCTGTGTGCATCACCGGTCCAAGCTGCCTTCATATAACACACAGCTTTACTAGCAGGATTAAATGCTCTCACACTGAATGACAATGATGGTCAACAATGCATCAACACAAAAATATCTCACACGCATCGTATATTCAGTCAAGCTGTCGAAAAAGTGTAGTAAACATGAAAAATTTAACCTTTTAGATAACAAGAATGATGGAAATCCCCCACACAAACCATAGCACTGTGATTAATTGAAGAGATTTCATAACACAAGTAAAAGCTCTAAAGTAAAAGTACAGAGGAATAAATACAACAAGTAAAAGGACAATTCATTTATAGATAAAACATTTATTTGTTTATATCATTGGCACATAGATATGACAACAAAATGAGCCAAAATAAAATTTTGCAAGAAAAAGTGTAAATACTGAAAACATTAAGCAATGCAACAGATTTACAGGTTAAAGATTAAAGGCTGGTTTTATGGAAACAAATTTAACCTAAACTCAAACTTTTCCCACAAAAATTACTAGATTTAATCTGTCTGAAAAGCCAGAACTGAGACGTGTGTAACACATGCACCATCTAATCTGGTAACAAACCGAAAAATCAGCTCAATTTCAAATTAGAAGGCAACTTATCACACAGACTTTTTGAGTTAACTCAACTTGAGGACACAAGAGTCACCCAAATCAACTCAGTTTAAAGTTTCTGCTAACTTTTTTATTCTGCATCTCAGTTAAAACAACAATACTCAGTTTCTCCTCTAGCTAAGACTCTTTACATCGCACAGTCCCACCAGGCATTTCACTGGGCTCCTGATTACGGATGACTGTGGCATCACTGTGGTTTAAAATCCTGATATAGGGGTGAACGCTTAGACAGTCGGCTACTTGGGATCACAGAAAGTGTTTAGATTTTTATTGTAACTTTAAAAGGTAATTTGACCTTTTAAGTTCGTTGAACTACAGATAAGTTTAGATAACAGTGTGAGACAAATTTTGTGCTTAATGTGTACGTGGATTATGTTGGAGTATCTAACATTAACACTTTAACCCAACATTGTTCAAATTCTTTGTTCAGGTAACACAAAATGCTACACAGGCCAACAAATTTAAGTTTTTTACTGATAAATTGTTTATAAACAGCAAAACTGTGACCTTATTAAAACTGTAATTCTAGGTCTGACAGATGGAAACTGGGGAAACTGGGCAGCGGTTAGAATTAGGACGTTATGAGGGAAACCAGCAATCTTTTAAAAGTTAAATTCAGATCGAGAGTGTGATTAGGGCAGTGTGGGCTGCATGACATTCTGAGTAAAACCCGCAGATTCAAGCATAAATACAAACACAGACGTACCTGAGTCGCTTTGCTTTACAAAGATGCATATCATCACTGTCCAGAGAAACCCAAGCATTTCCATTTCTGTCCATTTTTATTTTTCTAAATTCAACATACCAGCTGTACTTTATGTTGTGTGAACATTTCTTAATGAATAGACCAATAGAAATGTTTTAATATCACTTGATGATATTAAAATCCTTGACTATAATCCAGCCCAGTGTATTTTAACACTAAGCACAGTAAAACATTTGTACTGTTTATTTCATCTTTCCTCTTTCTGCTCCTTTTTCTGGGTATTCAGCATTGATCCTTGTGTGTTGGTGAGGCTACTGGACCATAGTAGCTTCTCTTTTCTCCTCTTTTCTCTTGTCAACATCCATCCTAACTTTTTGAAGACATGTATTAAAATATACAGTTCTGTGCAAAAGTATTAGACACCTGAGAATATTACAAAGCAATGCAATGGTTGACGGCTTACTTTTGTATTTATGTTCACTTCTTGCATAAGACTTGAAAGCACATTTCTCACTTTAGACTAAAACCCTTTTGCTTTGAGTGACCTTATTTATATTTATTTTATTAAAACCAATAATTCAGCATTACATTTTTTCATTACTGAAACAATCATAACACCACAGAAACTTTACCAAATGTTTCAGTAGTAACTGTTTCAGTGGTGACAATTTAAGCTTATTTTGAGCAGAACTTAAAAACACTAGACAGTACATGACTGGCAAACACAGCTTTGGACAGTTGTACACACATAAAATCATCATATTTTTCATTTAAACACAAAAAAGAAAATAACTCATTCTTAACTGCAAAAAAATATGTGCTTCAGTATTGACAGTTCTTAATGTTCCACACTGATTTCACTGATTTTTCTACCGAATAAAACTCTTTGTATTTCAATAGTGACATGAAAATGTGGGACAGCAAAATCTAAATCATTCAACTTTACTTAAAAATAAATCAAATATATACTTTTAAAAACAACACTGAAAAAAAAGGATTATTTTCAAAACTGTAAATTTATGGTTTAGGGTTTGGGACAGACACCTGCCAAAAGAAAGCACCCTATAAACGATGGTTTTGTGTATATTTAGCTTATTACCATCTCTAATAATGCATCGGGTTTAAATACATCAGAACATAAACATTGTAAATATCTAAGGTCTGAATACATACTTGTTATTTTAAGCAGTTTTTACTGTGGCACCACAGTAACTGAAGTAATTCAGCCAAATGGTTCATTTATACAGTTTTTACTGGCAAAAACACTCTTACTGAGAAAAAAGGTTTGAACAATTTGCTTAGGTAACTTTTGCACAATAATGAATATTACATATATATATATCAATATATATATTTATATTACTTAATGTCCTACGACTATCCAGCCCAATCTAGCTTAAAAGTAGGAACACAAATAGATTTGTTTTACTGTTTATTCTGCTTGACCTTTTGTTTCTTCCCTTTTCTCCTGTTGTCCTTGGGTTTCGAGGCTGCTGGAGCAGAGCTGCTTCTTGGACCTACTGTCTTCATAACGTTTTTCACCCAGTCCAGGTCTGGATCATAACACAGCTTCCGGCCTTTACGCGTCCAAAAACTGGAGTTAAAATTAACAAGCAAACAGATCAGCACTGGGAAAAGAGAACTTGAGAAGCAACACCAAGATCCACAAAGCATGAAGGCTGAAGAAACACGATTGAGAACTTTTGCACAGTGATGGTTAAGAAATAGAGTCAGTGGTTATGAGTAAAAGAGAAACTCTGATGATCAGTGCACTTACGCAACTGCGTTGATGGGGCAAAGTCCTGCACTGTAGACTGTATAATATGCAAATCTCTTCGCTGGTATCCTTGCATTTGATATTTTTAGACAGCAGTGCGGGGGCCAGCTCGCAGCTACAAGAAACAAAATCATTCAGATGTTAGTCCAGGTATATATCAGTGCTGCTGTATGAGTTAGTCTGGATCATTTCTATGGGAACATAGTCAGTAAAATCTTCACACAATGTAAAGCTTGAAGTTATTAACTTTTGACATGATAGCGACAATACAGTCCACTGATTTACTGATTCTCATCATTTCCTGAGAGAAGTCTTGCAAAATGCTCTATAATGCTCAGCACATTCTACCCCAACCCTGCACAGCAGCAGCAGCTGGCTCTGACTCACCCACAGTGCTGCAGTAAAGACAGAACGCCAAGCAGAGGAAGACTGCGTGGTACAGATTCATCGTGATGCCTAGAAGTGCTGTCTGAAGTAGTTCTGATTAACGTATTCGCTCCACACCTTATAACGCACTTTCGTTTCCATCCCCCCCCTCAACACGCAGCCCCTCAACCCACAATTCGGTCGGAGAAAGTGCAAGGGTGTACAAGTGTGTGTGGTGAGCAAGAGTGCGAGTGAGAGAGAGAGAGAGATATAAATAGACACAAAGAGAGAGAGAGAGAGAGAGAGAGAGAGACTACAGAGTGGAAAATATGCCCTACTTGTCACTTTAAACTTATCTAACCACAATCAGCAGCAGTGAAATGGGATTATTAGATGAATGGACTGGACTGACCAACCAGTCATACCACTACATTGAAAGTTATGACTTTTAAAAAACCTCCACAGGAAAGTTCCAGAAAAGTGTGAATCCACGTAAACGCTGAGATGACGTGCAGAAACCTACGATTCTCATTGAAAGGTTCAATAAAAGGTGATAGCCTTAGATTTTATTGAAAGTATACAGTCCTCTGTAGACAACAAATGTAAAAAATGACTTTTTTTGCAAATTTTAGTGCACAATTTAGATTTATATGCTACATTTAACATAATAAAAAACAGAAACTATAAAGTGTGCTTTTTTTGGAACAGGACACATTTTTTGTTCTTTCAATATGTTAGATTTAGCAAATAAACTGTAGTTGTACTAAAATGTGGTTTGTTCTCTGTAGAGAAAATGTTAATTTATTTTCACTTGGGAAACCAGCAGTACATGCCCTTTGACCAGGGGTGCCCAAACTGTTGCATAATGACTATAAATATTATTAGAAATTTTTATACCTGAAATATACAGGAAACTCCAGCAGCACTGCTGTTTCTGATCCACTCAGACCAGCGCAACACACACTAACACACCACCACCACATCAGTGTTACTGCAGTGCTGAGAATGATCCACCACCCAAATAGTACCTGCTCTGTGAGGGTCCATGGGGGTCCTGACCACTGAAGAACAGGGTAAATGGGGGCTAACAAAGTATGCAGAGAGACAGATGGACTACAGTCTGTAACTGTAGAACTACAAAGTGCACCTATATAGTAAGTGGAGCTGATAAAATGGACAATGAGCGTAGAAACAAGGAGGTGGTCATAATGTTATGCCTGATCGGTGAATAATTATGACTTTGTGGCAGTGGTACACAGCAAATTACCTGCAGTGTCCAGCTGGAAATATGCCTATGGCCAAATATGCCTATGGTCCTCCACAGTTCTGACCCACCAAGGCATGGATTCTACGAGAGCTCTGAGGGTGCCCTGTAGTATCTGGCACTAAGACGCTAGCAGCAGATAGCCATCACAGATCAGACTTGTTCCAGCACATCCCACAGATGCTTGATTGGATTGAGATCTGGGGAATTTGGAGGCCTGGGGAACACCTTGGACTTTCCAAACAGTTCCTGAACAGTGTGTGTAGATTGGCAGGGCGCATTGTTCAGCTGAAAGAGGCCACTGCTATCAGGAAATATCATTGCCCTGAAGGTTTGTACCTGGTCCACAATGATGTTTAGGTCCATATGAATGTCAGGGTTTAGGTTTCCCAGCAGAACATTGCCCAGAGATCACACTCCCTCTAGTGGCTTGTTTTTTTGTGTATTCTGGTGCCATCACTTCCCCAGGTAAACGGTGCCCATCTACCAGGTTGTCCACATGATGTAAAAGAAAATGGAACTTATCACACCAGGCAACCTTCTTCCATTGCTTTCAGGTCCAGTTCCATCGCTTACGTGCCCATTCCAGAACCTCTTGATGGTGGACAGGGGTCAGAATGGGCACTCTGTCTGGTCTGTGGCTATGTAGTCCCATACACAGCAGGGTGCACTGTCACCGTTGTGACACATTCCTCCCATAACCATCATTAAACACTTCTGCGACTTGTGCCACAGTAGATCTTCTGTCAGTTTGGACAGGTTGTTTCCCTTGCATGTTAATTTGCGTTGGGTGCTAAACACTCTGCCACCAGTTTATGGATTGTCCTTCTTCTGACCACTGTCAGTAGGTAATCACCACTGCTGACCAGTAGCTCCCCATACGCCTCGCCGTGATAACGTTAGGTACAATACTAATTTAGAAATGTACCTACAGTGTAAATAAACTCTAAACAATAGCTAAAGTTGTCATAATTAAACCAATGATTAAGTTCGTTATCAAGTATTGTTTCGTAGCATATTAAGATACTTTTATTTTGGCATTTTAAATTTTATTGTGATGACTGATCTTCGTTTTATGTGAGCTTGTGTTACAGTAAACTTAAAAATAAGCATGAATGGAAATCCAGTGCATAACAGGCAGCTAGCTAAGTTAGCGAGCATTAGGTAACAGTGATTGATTAGCCATGATGACGAACACTGAAATATTATTGGTAGCCCTATGCCCCTTGTGGTCAATCTAGGTAACAGAAAACATTGATAGTTTTAATTAATATAATCAAACAAAATGTTTTTCCCTGTAAATCTGACTCTGTGATGAGCTGCTAGTGAGCAATGAGAGGTGAAAACAATTCAAAAATGCCAGGCTGAGATAAAATGAGAGCAAACTGCAGCTTTGTTGATGTCACAAAATCATGTATAATACTTTTATAAACGTTTGCTCACGTACAATAAAAAAAACAATGCAAAGTTCAATTGAGAGACCTTTAAAACAGGTAAAGGAGTAGAATGCTTTATAAAACACAATTGGTTTTTACATAAGAAAACACTAATTTTATTTTTGTTGTCTTTCATGGAGATTTGACCTCTCATAGTGTTTTCTGCCTTGAGTAAGAACTTCTAGAATACATTAAGGGGCTTCATTTAAAAGGAATTTTCTTTGTTCTTTCCTTTTTTGGGGTGTGGAGTGTATGGAGGTCTATACGATACATAATGTGATTTTTACAGATAGCACTGTACTTTTAGAGAATATTCTACACGTGAAGTGAGGATATTGTCCAATATTTGAACTAATTAAGGCCTATTGTTGAACAGAACTGCTTGAGGCGTGCAGGAATTGTTCACTGACTTGGTGTGTGGTGTAAGAAAAAAGGAGACAGGTGGGAAGATTGCTGGACAGATGAATCATGGAGCTGCTAGACAGTGTGATGTAAGCGGAGTGATGAACAACAATGACGATTTGATTCTCACATCTTTGGTCATTTCTCTGGTAGCCTGCATTATTTTAGTCAGAAAGTAAAATCAGAATTTCAAGATTAAGAGACCCTTATTAGTCCCACAATGGGGAACTTTCACCTCCGCATTCTAACCCATCTGTGAAGTGAAACACCACATACACACTAGTGAAAGCACACACACTAGGGGCAGTGAGCACACTTGCCTGGAGCGGTGGGCAGCCCTATCCGGGCAGTTGGGGGCTAGGTGCCTTGCTCAAGGGCACTTCAGTCACGTACTGTCGGCTCAAGGGATCACAAGGCTGGTTCCCTAACCTCCAGCCCATTTTATAAATGACCTTTAAAAATTACCTTTATAAATGACGGTGCATGACCCAAAATATCTGCATGTCAACTAGTTGCTACAAGTTACTATAAAACTCATGAACAATGAGTCTAGAATGGCTTCAGCATGAGCAAAGTCACTTCAATGAGAATATCATGTAGAGAACCAAACAAAACATCTTCATGAGACACACTTTGGCCTGCAAGTCTAAACCACAGAAAGGGCCCCACAGAGACTTACTGAGATACACCTGAACAGGAAGCGCTCTATAGAAACTATTATTACTCAGTGCGCTGAAACAAAATTCTTAATTTATTCTGAGACAGGAACTGAAGCAGTTCAAAAGCTTTAAGACACGCATTCTGTCCAATGTCACTTGACCACTGAAACTGATGCCTCAATTATTCCTTGCACTGGGGTTTGATCTGTGAGTGTGGAAAACGGCTGCTAGCACCACCCACCCAACTCATACAGTGACTCCACGGGAGCAACCCACACTTTCTCACCCAGTCAGTGAGAAATTCATTCTGTTCACCTCCCCCTGACTTTACTGCACTGAATCATACAGGCACCCTGAGAACACAATACTTATTCTTCAGGAATGTGCTTTTCATCATGATTCATTTACATTAGCATGATTTACACAATTCATACATAGTACTACAAACCAGCGATTCACATGTAACCAGCTCCTCTTGCTTCTCAGTAATCTGATAAGCAGTGCAGATGTTTGCCTCACACGTGATTTTCCGGCCATCAATGGTTAGTACTATTTATATCCTTAATCAACTCATTTTATCAGCAGACTCAATTCAGTTCCCTCAGTCAGTTCACAGGAACTGTCCTTTTGCATGAAATCATGAATAAACATTAAATTCAACAATTACTTGAGATTAAACTCTCACGATTACTTGGTTAAAATCGATTACTCTATTTAAAACATTGCAAATTAAAATTTGCCCACTCAATGAATCAGCTCAATTATTTTACAATGTGAATAATAAATAAGGTGTCTGAAGGTCATTATAAAGCCGTGTTTAGCAGATTCTGCGCAAGAGGAGCCACACACTACAGTAATGCAGTGTTAAACCCCTTAAAATACCAGGCTTATTACATGCTAAGGCTTATTATTTATTTAGTAACTGCCTGGACTGCAATGCAAACTAGCTGAGCTATTCTTAAGTTATAGAAGTGTGTAATAACACTTTGGGCCTGCCGGTGGGCCCTGGCCATTTAAGGGGTGAAACATATTATTTTAGGAAAATCATTGCACTACAGAACATTCTACCATCTTAAAAATAGTAGACATTTTGTATATTTCACATTTAATTCTTTCCAGTCAAAATAATTTTAACACTATAAATTTTGGTCAGTAACAGCTCAAGCTCCCTCTATGAGCAGCGCAATTCACAAGCGGCTGAATGCTGTTATTATATTGGCTCCCTACCTAAACATCTGCATGAATTAGGGGATGCTTCATGTACATGATATGGAAATGAGGTGCTGGTAGACTGGCACTTGATTTCACACACCAAAGCTGATTCATCACTTGTGCTCAAATCTCCACTCGTTTCTACGTCATACGAAAGTTTCATGAATCAAAGGCAGAGTAGCTTGTTCGTCATTAAAGACTGACACATCTGTGCTCTTTTTGACATAACTGATAAATAAAGGCCAGTGTCTTTTTAAAGACTATGAATTATGAAAACTGCCCTCTGAAATGTGGTGGTACTTTGGACAACAATCAAACACACAATGTGTGTAGTTTTCAACCTTGTCCAGAGTTCACATTCATATTATGCATTTTAAGTTCAAGATTTAAAATCAGGTTCTAAGGTTATTTCGAAGTATATTTATATTATCAGAGACTGTCTCAGTTTCTCCAATGTTTATTAAAGTTTTGACAAAGAAATCTGACTACTAAGAATGTGGTGCAGACCAAGTGTTGGCCTTATCATCATGAGATCGCAAAACTATTAGAGTCTGTCTTAATTTTTTGACCACATAAGATTATATTCATTAACATTATCAGTTATCAGAATTTTAGCTTCCTTAAAATTGATATCGGTATGACAATCTTTTCATTTACAGAACTCACAAATTAAGAATTTGCTCCTGGGTTTTTTCAACAACTTTTAGAGGTGCATGAGACCATCTGAGTGCAACCTCTCAGCTGGTCTGCGTATTAAGTGAGATGTATGTGCGAGTTTTGTGCAGAGCATTTTGAGTACGCTGGGGACGTCCCCGGTGTACAGCTTTGTGGGTCTGAACCCACTCACACCTCAGGTGATTGTAAACCTCCCACATGCGAAAACTCCATTAAAAGTGACGACACGAGCTTTGTCACACAGACCACCCCCGTCATCCACAAACTCAACGCATTACACACACTCACATGCACACATACGTACACACACTAAACGCGTGTACCATAAAGCGACAAACAAACCTGAATTCTTGACCAGAGCAGTTTTATTAAGCATAAAACCTGAATACATATAATATCTAATACAGTAATAACTTATTCCAGCACTCATCTGCCACAGTTACTCGTCTAATTCCAGAGACTAGCATACAAAGCAGAGGTCAGATAAAGGATAAGAACTGACCATCTAAGAATACAGTGAAGAAGACTGATATTATAATAATTACACCTGACTTCAAATACAGCAATGTGGATTTCTGAATATTTCCACTTTATGCCACTTAATTCCACATTATAATGTAAGCAATGCATAGAATAACTACTTGCTTCCCTAAAGAACCATGTTTGAAAAAGAGATTTGCAAGTGTTAAGAACCTTTTAAAGGTTTAAAGAACCTTCACTCTTAAAACAAGGGTTCTTTGAGCACTGCCACAGAGCAGATGTAACCAGTCTTATCCGTAAATGGCCAGCATGGCTGCAGAGTTTTATTCCGACCAAGCAGGAGAACACCCCATATAACTAATCAGCAGTTAGGAGTGTTAGGAGTGCTTCAGCTTGACCAGCCCTTTGTGGACAAGACTGGTGACCCCTGCCATAGAAGAACCAGAGATTTGTGAGGGTGAAGAGTCTTTCACAGCGGTTCCTAATCCAGTCCTCAGCACCCCTAGACGCCTCCAGCCCAACTCACAATACTTAGGAATGAAGGAAAAATGTGGATAATCAGAGGGGCCTTCAGAACTGGTTTGGGAACCACTGCTGTAGAAGAACCACTTTAGGTGCCCTACGGAGCCACATTTGAAATTAGACATTAATAAACCAAAAGAGATGTGTGACCGTGAAGGACGATTTAAAGAAATCAAGAATGTCCATATAACATTTCTTTAAACTTTAGAAAGGTTCTTCACACCCGAACGTTTCCTCTACAAAAATGGTTCTCTAAAGAACCATCCACTGAAAGGTACTTAAGGTAACCAAAATGGTTCTTTTGTGCATTGCACAAAGACGTTTTTGGCCCTTTTAGTTTGAAGCGTGTCATGTACAGCGCATACTGTACAGTTAGAGTTGCATTACATAATATAGGCTTTGGAAATGTATAAGATTTGACTGGACTCGTCAACTCTTTCGAATGAACTCAGCTCTGTTCTAACTGTTGCTAGCGCTTCTCTTCAGACTTTTCTCCCCATAAGGATGAACTGAGAAGAATATGCCAAAAAATTAGCAATCCATAACCTTTTATTTCTTTTCAGAGTCCAATATTATACTTTTACTCAAACTGCTTGCCAAAGTACTGTTGGCATAACTGTACAAGACAAAAGTATTGAACAAAAGCATTTGGAAGCGCCCGAGAAGGACACAGAACATCAACTTCAAACAGAGCACAAAGCAGTGGTCAGGTGAATCTCAGAATATAACGATTACTGACCATCCAGGAACACAATAAGGAGTATAGGATAGATGTCACACTGAGACACTACTGGTCAGATTTGCTGAAGTGAGATCCAGATCACCTGTTGTCTTCCATGTGGGCCTAAAAGCAGTAGTTGCTGGAACTGCTTTTGAGGAAACGGTCGTCCTTCTTCCATCCACTGCCTTCATGGCTCTTTTCACCCAGGGCTTCTGTGAGTCTGAGCAAATCTTGACTCCTTTCACAGTAGTGAATCTGGAAAACCAGAGAGAAAGCTGAGTGAGAATGACAAAGCGAAATAGAGACATTTTTCTGAATTACTAATAGTAAAGTTTAACAAGTTCAGGAGATGACCCATTCATAATACACTCATATGCAAGTACAGTCACAACAGTACAAAATTGATATACAGCAATTACTCTTAGATGTAGTAACAGGTCTTACTATTTTATATGTCTACAGAACAAAGAGTACTCACACAACAGCTTCAATGAGGCAGAGACCTGACTTCTGCACATAATAACTCTTTATATTCGAGATCCGGAGAGCCGTGTTTGAAGTCTTGAGGCATTCACATGAACCTGGCCCAATCGCTGTTGGCACAAGAAAAAAAAATTAGACACCCTCAGCATAAAAAGGCAGATCATCACAGTGTTTCAACAACAGAAGAAAAGACAGAACACATTTCAGAAAGAACAAGAAGCCCTTACCTTGGCAGACGGCAGCTGCCAGCAGCATTACAGTCAGACACAGCAGTGCAGCTCTCATCTCTTCAGCTTGCAAAGACTGATCAGTGATATCTGATAGTAGCCCCCCCAAGTATTACTTTATATGCGTTTGAGAGGGGAAAGAACACTTCAAAGCTTCCTACCACATACACTCACCCTCCCCACCACCCCCCAGCTATCACCTCAGAAACAGAAGCCCCCTTGACACCTTCCAGTCGGCCAGCAGACGGCTGGAAAATTCACACATGCACACTTTTGTTCAATCAACCCACCTTTCCGATGGTCCATTGTCCTGCCTAATAATTTGTGTATGTGTGAGTTTGTTTTCCTGCGTTTTGAGGACAAAAATGAGCTGGAGTGAAAATAGATGTAATTTACAATGTTACAAAACTTTTTCAAAAAAAATCAACAATTCTTTTTGGTTCAGGTTTATATACACAGACACTTACATATACGTAATATATATGAGATATTTTTACATGTACTGTACATACTTATATAAACATAATACATAATATATATTGAGCAATGACATACGTATTGGAACTTATATATACACATTTGAACAGACATAATTAACAATGTCAGGGAAATTTTACAAAAAAATAAACAATTATTTTTGGTTTAGGTTTAGGATTAGGGCTAGGCTTCGATTTCTGTTACATATAGGAACTTATAATACATATATATAATATAACTATAATATATGAGAACTAAATGAATAAATAATATATATGGGTATGATGGTGACGGTCTGACCCCACGTTCTGAGAAGGTATAAAAACAAAACCGTGTGCATGTGAGTGGTGTGTGTGTGTGTGCAAGCGCATGACCACCATACAGTGTTATGCATACAAGGTGTGTCTGAAAGTGGAAAGTACCCAAAGATTCACAAATGAATGAACACATTAAACAGCTTTGCCATGATATCAAAGACTGAACGCCACACAGGCTAAGCTTATTGCATCAGTGTATGACTGAAGTTCATAGTTTATTCGCGTACGAACTTAAATTGTACGTAAATGTTGTCTTAAACGAATAACTCAAGCAGAAGCCTGCAGTTTATAGGTGTTAATTAACCTACATGATCTTTTCCCCAACATATTTTCACTGACATTTTCAGACTAAACTAAATAAATAAAAATTAAATCTGTCTGGCTGTACTGATTGTGAGATTATGATGTTGTTTGTGTTCGAAACACTCTGACACAGAGCTACTGTGTGAGCAATATCTAGCAAGGAGAGCTAGTTTCCTGTAGCTTTTTGCGGTTGTAGTTGTGTAGCGGCTGCGAGGTGATAGTGGCTGTGGTCACTCGCTGAGCTGAGAGGAAGTACATATGGTTGCTGATGACTGATCAAGACCGTTTCCAAGTACAGGGTAGGCTATTCTAATAATCATACCTGCCTTCCTATGTAGGTATTCTCAGAAAAAGTTAACATTTCACCTTAGCACGTCAATTACAACATGACCTTAGGTGGCACAGTTCATGTAGAATATAGTGCACAGTAATGTACACTCTTAAAAATAAAGATGCCAAAAATGGTTATTTGGCACAAGCCATCATCCGTCAACAACCTTTCAATAAAAGCACACAGAGGTCCTTAACCTCTTTTCAAATTGCCATCAAATGCCATTTCAGCCTATTTTAAAGGCCTCTTGGTTGGACTATGCATGTTTTTTTGTTCAGTAACATTTCACATCAAGAAAGTGGCAGATGCGGTTTCTGTTTTATGTTGGTACAGCTGTCTGTGTGGAGAGATGTGTGTTGTTTTCTCACCTCTCCCTGAGAATTGTGTTCTCACCTCTCTCTTTTTACCCCTCATTTCTCACTAGCAGCTCAACACAGTCACAACTGTGTCCTAGCAGACCTTAAATATGATATATAAAAATATTTTATTTGTTAATGTGTTTCATACAGGTCTACCAGTAGTGGCAAAAAGTGGCTTCGCTTTCAGGCAAGAATTGCTTCTAGAAGTTAGTGCAGGTCCTTCACAACCAGTTTCCACCATGAACATATGGGGCAGAGTAACACAAGAGGTTACAGTGGACGAAGAGACACAAAAATTGGACTGTTCTTGACTGAAAACACCTTATCTGGTCAGATGAATCTCGTTTCTGCCTGTATGTGAATGATGCTCGGCGTCGTGTTCATCATAGAGCTCAGGATGCCTTCAGTGAGGACTGTGTGCAGGTGTGGTTCAAGCTGGAGGAGCTCTGTGATGTTCTGGGGTGTTTTAACTATGTGGAAATGGGTTTTTTGGTTGAGGTGACAGTAAATTTGAATCACAGTGCCAACACTGAGCTGCTGGACAACCAGGTTTTGCCTTTTGCTCATCATCTCACTGAGGAAAATAACATTCTTATCCTGTATTCCAAGATGACATTTCTCACATTCACATTCACAGGGCTGCAAATGTGGCTGACCGGTATGATGAACATTCAGGAGCATCCACACATCTGGACTGGCCCGTAAAATACCCAGATTTTAATCCTCTCGAAAACCTGTCGGACTACCTGGAACAACAAGTAAGACGCCAGGGAAGTATGTCGCTGGAGAGATGACGTACCAGTCCTCCTGCTTTTGTAGCTCAAAATACAGCATCACAGGCTCTACATTGTATTCAACCACTGTACTTTTTATCTGATGTAAAGATCATGTTTCCATAATTAAAACATCCCTAAAATTTTAAACAGTTACTATTTAGCGAGCTTTCGTTTAATTCCGTCCATAGTTTACACGTTGGAAGACCGTTAGCCGGACTTTGTCGTACGCACAGACTACACTAGGAAGAGAGAGCAGTGCACAAGAATGAAAGTGTAAGAGTGTGTGAAATTCATGCTGGCATAATCCTTGAAATAAAACAACATCTACTCCATAAACCCCAGATTTTGTCAGGCCCTGTTGGGATCAGGTTTGGTAGAACACCTGTAATGGGAACAAAAAGTTGTTTATAACTCCAAAGAACCCTTTCTGGATCATTTTTAGGAGTGTACTGAACACTGTTATTATATATAGGCTTTTGGAAATGTATTAATTACAGTGCACTCCAGAATTATCCTTCATTTAAATGAACTATGTGTTCTGGAACAAAAAAGTAACAAGTTTTTTAGAAAACATTAAAAAATATTAACACCCCCATTTTTAATATTTGTTGAAGCCTCATCTCGCAAGAAAAACAGCACTAAGCTGCTTTCTGTAAGGTTGGAGAACACTTATTGAGGAATCTTGGACCACTCCTCCATTCAGAATATTTCCACTTCCTTGATATTCACAGGTCTTTGCTTGAAGACGTCCCTCTTGTATACCCACCACAAGGTTTGAACTGGGTTCAAGGGGCCATTGCAAAACTTTGCTTTGTGCTCTTGCAACCATTTCTGTCTGGGTTGTGATGTGTGTTTGAGATCATTATCTTGCTAAAAGTCAAAGTGTCTACCCACACCTGAGCTTCAGCCTTCTGGCAGGGGCAGAAAGATTTTGGGCTGAAATCTCCTCTGTATTTAGTGGAATTTATAAAGCCAATAGTTTTCACAGGGGCTCCTGGAATACCAGCAGTAAAACAGCCCCAAAGCAGCAGTGATCCATCACCATATTCGACAGCGGGTATCAAGTGCTTTTGGTTTGACATGATACATTTGTAGTTTCAATGACATTTAGCAATGTCCAGGCCTTGCAAAGTGACTTGAAAGGCGTCTTTTGTGGAACTCTGGCGTCTGACAGTGGATTTTGAAAGCTGAAACCACCATCTGTGCAGTTCTGAAACTGATCTTTGGGTTTCTCTTTGCCTCTCTTAGCGTCCTCCTCGCTGTAAGTGTGGGCAGTGTGCTCGTGCATCCTCTTCCTGGCAAATTTCAGCTCTACCATGCTTTTAAGATACGTTATTGTTGGCCTAATTGTGCTTAATGGTAATTTAAACAGACTACACTTTTTTAAAAATAACTGTTTCCTAATCTGTGCATGTCCACAACCTTCTGTCTCACTTGAGTTCGCTCTTTGGTTTTACCCGCAATGATGAATGACAAAGGGATTTTTACAGACATCCAGAGAGGCCATGAGGTAGTTATACCTTTCTGGTCTATTATCTTGAGATCATGACATAATTGTCTTGTGATCTCAAGATAATAATGAGATCACAAGAAATTAAGTCGTGATCTCAGGATAACAACTTTTTTTGTTGTGATCTTAAGATAACATTGTTTTCTCGAGATTACAACTTGAGATCACAAAAAAAGTTGTGATCTCGAGAAAACAACTTTTACTGTTCACAAAACAATTAAGTCATGATCTCAAGATAACAGTCCAGAAATTTATAAGTATCTGATGGCCTCTCTGGATTTTACATGCGTGCAACCTCATGTAAATATTAATACGCCAGGGAATCAGCAAACGGTCAAAAACAACAACAGAGTTCCTGTAGTGCAGGATCAATAAAAATAATTCATTTTTCCCCCTTAAGTTTTATTTAAAATTTTGCCCCTTATGATTTTGAAATAATCCAATAATTTTGCCCCTTATGTCTTTGAAGGAATTCACTATTCTTAAAATGAAATAACATCCTTAGAGGAATGATTTCTATTAGATAAATGGTAAGCAATGGTAAACATTTTTCATTTTTGGGGAACATCTGAAGCATTAAATGCATGCGTTTACTATATATATATATACATATATATATATATATATATATATATATATATATATATATATACACACACACACACACACACACACATATATATATATATATATATATCGCTGCTTTCAGAACAAAACATATCTCCATTTTTGTTGTTTTTCATTTATAATTATACATATAATTAAATATAATTATATAAATAAATAAAATTTATTATAAATTGTTGCTTTTTTATTTTGTTATTGTACTGTATTGCACCTTATATTATCATACTCTGTATTTTATTTGATTGCTATAATAAATGAGACTGGAGACAAAAATTACTGACAACCACACAAGAACATTTACAGCAGAACACAGAAGCACTGTGCAGTTTGGAAATGTCAGGGAAGGATGAGAAAAGCTAACAAGACGGTGTTCTTCACACTGCATCAAGTGTGAGTACAGAGGAGGGAAAGTCATTGTGGTCTGTTATACATGATGTTCAACACTGTGGTCTGTTGCATATGACTTGACATTTAACCTGTGCCAATGTATGGAGGCACTTCTCACACAGTATACATTGTTGGCAACAATGCGGAATTGAGTTCAATTGAAACGAATGTGTTTATAAAA